CATGTTAAATATGTCTTTATATAAATAAATCAATTTTCAAATAAAGTTAGAAATTTATATATATTGGCGAGAGATCTTATGTATCATGAGTTGGTCATAGAAATTCCTAGTCTTGCCTTTTAACAACATAATCATGCCCCGTTTCTTACACCTCAAATGTGTACAGGGTATTACAATTACAAATTGTCGGCGGGCAATGTAATGTAAATGTTCGCTGGCTCATTACTTGATCATTATTTTATATTCAGGCAATTTGTGCAAATATTTACGCAAATGCGCTGGTTCTTCTATTTGGGATCAGTTCGTACACACTTCACATACACTATATAGATAAATATGTATGGCTAATAGGCGCTATTATTCAAATTAATTGTATGTACTTCAATCGTCTGAATTGTGGGCAACTTGTTTAGTCACGCCTTTGACTCATATGCGAGTCGTGTACGAAGTGTGAATATGTTTTTTAGGCCTTTGGCTTGGCTTTGCGTTTGTCTGGGCTCCCCTTTTCTGGAAATCTGACGCCCCTATATTGGGTTTAAGCAAATATGCATGTGTCAGCTATCGAAGCATGCTCAGCGCAGAACAAAACCTGATCTAATAGATTGGGTAAATTCATATTATTAGGGCCTTAGTTGGGCGAAAACCAAAGCCAACTGATTAACTTGAAGCACAAATATTTCTGGTCTCTTAAAGCATCTTAGCATCAATTGTTTATTTGTTAAAAATACTTTGGCGTAAGCTTTTGATGCTTATAAATATTCATCGAATTTTTTTCCATTTACTACAATTTTTTCCCTTCACTACCTCAACTCGAAAAGCTTTAAAGCAGCGAAGCAAGCGTTAAAAAAATAGTTTACAATGGAAAATCTATAAAAAGTTAAGGTTTTTATAATGTTGAATTGTTATTAAAGCTTTAGGTCATATTACATTTTAATGCAAGATTCAATTACAAATACAAAACTTATGCAATCTAATAAAAAGTAAAGGGTATTGTTAAGCTTTAACTTTCAGTTTCATTGGGACTTTGTTTTGTTTTTGTCGCCGAACATGATTAATAAGAGTTGAATCGATGAGCTCATTCAACCCCTCGACCATCCGGCGTACATTACTTGAATATGTTGTGTGTGGGTGTGAAAATAATAAAATATAAAAAATAAACTATATTATAATCAGAAAATGTTTAATATGCGAACAACAACAAGGGAAAGTGACGCTCAGACAGCGTGTAAAATAAGTAAAATAGTCTCTAGCACGGAAGAGAACACAAAAAACATATTCTAACACTCGTCAATAATTTAATAATTGCATTACAAAGTCGCTTAGATAATTAAAAACAATTTTGTACACGTTTTTGATCATTTGCATTCTGAGCAAGAAAACAACAAATACGAATTTGTAGCTGCCGGTTGCACAAATTGTTGAAATGCAAAGGCAACAAACACATTTTTTAAGTGCTTTTTTTTTATTTCCCCACAAATTGCCCGGCCATGCCGGCTGGGCTTAGCCAATGCACTTGGGGGAATTGGCTGGCGTCTGGCGTTGGGGCTGGGGTTGGGGGTGTGCTTTGTCAATGCGACAACGATTAGACAGAATAATGATAATTAACTTGTCAGTAGTATGTTGTTCATTTGGCACAAGGCAAATTTGTGCTCGAAAACACAATGGAATGAAATAATATAATAAACGAATTTTTAAAATGTAAATATATAAGGTATACAATGGGCATGATGTATTTAAAAATAGTTATAACTTGAAATATTACAGTTGTTTATTTGTTTAAATTATCAACTGGAGAATGAATTCTAACATGGCATTAAAAGAACGTGCCCTTTTGAAGTTTTTATTGCTTTCACTTTCAGTTTAGAATTGTTGCCAAAAATGTTGCTTTCCTTATTGATAAAATTTTTTAGTTAAATTTTTGGAATAAAGACATTCTGTTTAAATAGTTTAACCATACAAATACAACATAGTCTCAATTTATCTACCTCTCTCAAAGGAAAATCTTAACCAGCAACTGTGAATGAGAAAAACGTTAAAGAGAATTGTTGTTTCCTGACTCTCATGTTGTTTTAAAATATATAAAGGTCTAGCTGTCATTAGAGCATGCAGTTTGTAGCAAATTTTGTTAATTATAGTGCAATCACAATCCAAACTCTGGCGCCTCCATGGCCAACGCAATGGCGTGTTCCGAGTCGCCACCCGCAGTGCCAAGAGTCACGCTATAAATACGGAAACCAAGAAGGAGGCAAATATATATATCTGCCTCCAGCTTAACTATGGCATGGCAATGAAAGCGTGCATATATATATGTAAATAATATATATATATTTATATATATCGCAAACAGCTGACAAACAGTTTCTGGCCCGGTTTCTGGCTAAGCAATTTAATTATTGATTGTTGTTGCGTTCTGCCTCGCAACGTGGCAGACAAATTGACGACTGACACCAGTTGCGTCAGTCGCTCTAGCTAGCTTCTTCTTTATTGCATACCCTAACGTTGGGTATTATGATTATGCCATGAGATGTGTAACCCATGAAAGGAGGCCCTATTAAGTCTTATATACGATTGATCAGTATCAGCAGGCGAGTTTGTTTAAAGACTATTTTTAGAAATCTTTGCCTGGTTTAGTTTTTCTGCTTAAATAGATCGAATCGGTCTACTATATCATAAAGCTATCATGGGAGTCGAATCACGATAATTAGACTAAGTCCGGCATTTACCATTTCTAGCAGAGATCACTTCAAAGATGAGCTAAGTCTTTTATTTTATACAAACAAATATTTTGATGTGCCTCATCTGAGATCAGCTTTCTAAGCTGATTTTCTGCAAGGGTATTTAATCTTCGTTATGTTGTTTTAATTGCCTTTTTCTAGCCAATAATTTATTTATAAGTTATTTATGGGGAGTTCGCCTCTTGGACGTGTCATTAAAATTGCATACTTAACATAAAGCGATAGCCACATAGCAGCAGGTGGAAGTGGTTGACCCTGGCTGCAGCCAGTTGATGGCCTCCAGTTCGATCAGCTGTGGCCAATGGCAGCAACACGTTTTTTTTTTTTGTTTGACTAACAATTTCACTAAAGTGCTCTGAGATCAAAGAGAATTATTTAGTTTTGGCTATTGATTCGAGCTCTTTTCAGCTGTGACAGAAAATGAAAATATTTGCACAAAAAAAATCAAAGAATTAGATAAACAAATAGTGCGCACTTTTAGCAAAGCTCCTTGAATTTAAAAATAGATTTTTTCAATTTACTTTGGGGATTTAAGAAACAAACAAATAAAATGGCTTGAACAAATTAAACCTTAAAATTGGAAAAAAGAAGGATTTTAAATTAACTTGAAGTATCGAGAAATTTTATATATAATATTAAAAATATTTTCATAGATAGAATATAGGGCTGAAACCGAACTGGGCTTAATTTTGATCACATATTTAACTTTTGCATAGAATAACAGAATTAGCAAATTATTCGTCACAATATTATTAGTTTATTAAGCATTTATTTTTCAATATATTTTCGACTTTCGCACTTTGTTTTCACTCTGATTGGACACAAAGGCAGCTACAACTGGTTCGGCTGAAAGGAACCCTGACATTGATGGCCATTTGCGCAGTTATTCAAATTGAATTAAGTTTTGTGCTTTGAATTTGATTCATTTGCGTAAACGATGAATCGACTGCAAAAGCCAATTAAATGTGTCATCGTTATAGTTGCAACTGTGTGTGTGTGTGTGTGTGTGGGAAATAAATGCAATAGACCTACAATATTCCGAGGTGTGTATCAATTCCTTGAACTAATATTATATTATATAAGCAGACATTTTGCCATTTCCCTCGATTGTTTGGCAGTTCCCAAAGAACCCGACTATCTTCTCACTTAATCTTCAAAAATTTACTAGCGGAAAATTCCGCAGCTAAATAAAAACTACAAAACCTTAGAAAAATAATGTTCATTGCCCAATTAATTCTTGACCTAATCGAATAATAGAGAACGCAAACACATTTTCGAATTCGCGTTAATTAATCATAAACCCCGCAAAGAACTCGCATTTAATGCTGATGCTCGAGAAATCGAATCAGACGGCAATAAAGATATCGTGGCTTTAGCCCTTGGACAATATTATAAATGCAGGCGCTATCCAAGATATGAGCCTGGCCAGAAAGCGACCAAAAACCATGACATGGCTAGACATATGCCATGAGATCATGCGAGGCACTATAAACATTGCCCGAATTGCCCGATAAGTCGTTGATAAGAGCAAAAGTTTATAAGTACCAACCCGGTCCAGATAACAATGTGAACAGAAATTATTTGCACGCAGCGCGCAGGGTGCGTCACTTGGTTTATTGCATTGGGGGCGGGCAGGGTTCTTGTAAAGTCTATTGTTTGGCTTGGTATGCATAAGGGTTTGGATAACATTTTCTTAGAAGAGATAAATGCTTCTAGGTACGTGGGCTCTACTATCAGCACTCAGAGAAAAAAGCAGGGCGGAAATCTCCGATAGTTTTCACGAGGATATGTGGAAATCCACGGCAGAAATCAAACAACGTAGTTTATTTAATATAAATGCACTTTTCCGACTTAAGTCGGAGATATTTGGGGACTTTGTTTGGCGTTAATACATGTTTAGAAAAGGGTTTTGAAATAAAACCCATAGGAGTGGAATACTGTGGAAAGCCATAAACAATTGTTTTTCATACAAACGGATGCGATTTCACTGCTTTCGGCAATCCGCTTCTTGAGGGGGAAATATTAATTTTCACGCAATCCACGTTGAGTAAAAAACTAATTAGAACCCCTTTTGTTGATTTACTCGAAAAATGGTCAGAAATAGAAAATTATTTTTTTACCATACTGATTTTGTCAAATCCATCCGCATGGGTGAAACAATTAATAGGTGAAACTCAAATTCAACACTAAACAACACGAAAATAGTTCTAAATTACTCGCGCATTTCAACAGGGCCAAATTGAATACCCTTTTAGTTACACTTACCAGAAAAGTATTCTTAGCGAATTGGCCACCAGCAGGGCCAGGCATACGTAGAGAGAGAAACCCTCGGCGTCCTGGGTTTTCTTGATTTCAACATACTGCGGCACGTAGGGTATAACGCCGCCTATGACCATAGCGGAGGCGGCCGCCCAGCCGACCACGTGACCCACTGTCAGACCTAGTTCATCGCTGATGATCCAATCCATGTTGTGTGTTTATTTTTCTTTTTGTTTTTTATCGAATTATGTTATCGAGCCTAATAAAATGTAGTTAATTTGACGGATATGTTTGCTTAATTTGTTTTTGTTGCTGTTCTCGCTCTCTCCTTATGCAAAAATGTTGACTAGAGTTGAGACGCCAGCGCGCTGGAAGTTGTTGTTTCTGTTACTGTTACTTTTTCTGTACTTTTTGTTGTTATCTTTTGCATTCTTATGCGGCGGCAGCGACGTCAGCGTAGGCGTTCTTTAATTTGCCAAGCAGAGCAGACCTCAGCGAGCGGCTGATAGAGCGAGAGAGAGAGAGGCTGTTCGTCAGCTGATGAGATGCTGCGTCGTCGTCGTCGTTGGCGTTGGCGTTGGCACTCAGGTAAGGGAGTGTGTGTGTGTGTGTGTAAATGCGTTTGAAAATGCTCAAAGCGGAAGTCAGCGGTTGTGGCTAGTTGTTGTTGTTGATTACCGTTGTTATTGTTGTTGTTGTTGTTGTTGTTGTTGTAGCTACTATTGTTGTTTTTATAATTCGCCTTTGAATTTCTCTTTTTGTGTTGTTTTCTTGCTACACTGGCACACACGTACACACACACGCACACATAGAAAGACACAGCTGCTTTTGCAAAATTTCGTTTCTTCTTTCTCCTTTTGGTTTTTTTTTTTTTGTTATTGTCGCGCCGTTTTGTATTGAATTTTCCACACTTTTTTGCCACGCCGCGCGCGCTTCGCTTTTACGATCTGTCCGCAATTTTCCTGTGCACACTTTTCAAGCAATATCCTATACTATAGCTACAGATGAAGAGAAAGAAGAAGCACTTCGTTTCCATTTCACACGATTTGTTAGTCGATTAATTCGTTTGACTGACTACTCTCTAAGTTTTGCTGCCAGTAATTTCGTTTCGTCTCTTTGATTACATTTTCATTTCGCGTCCGGAAAAAAGCAAATCTGTTGCCTTAATTAGCTGTTGTTTCGTTGCTTTCCCTCCTCAATGCTGTCGATTTGCTATACATCGATTCTTGCGCATCTTTTTTCGCGTGCGTACCGCACTCAACGTTCGTAGGTTTGTTTAATCTTTATTATTTATTTATTTCAATTTCACGCGCGACGTACGTCCCAATCGCTCGACGCCAGAACAACAACAATGGTAATAACATAAAATTGTAAGCCCAAATGTTATGCTCAAAATGGCGCTGTTAAAGTAGCAGACCGTTGCAATAGTGTGCCCAGCGGTAGTTGTGCTTACATAAAAATACCAAAATGTGCAGTAATATTTTCCGACGTTAGTTTTTTTAATAGCAGTAAAGAAATTGTTGTTGTTTTCCGATAATTATTATACGTATCCACAACTTATAGCTAAATAATTCCAGTTTTTTTGTTTATTGAGCAACACCTTGTTTTCGATTTTTCAGTACTTTTCATATTAATTATGGTCAACGAAAACCCCAAGTATTCCAAACTAACGGTATTTTTCCGTTGGTTCGGACAAATTTAAGAATTTATTTTCAATTCATGAACATTTATTGGAAGTTTTATTTTAGAAAAATCTGTACAAATTGTCATTGATTTTATATTATGCAACGATTATCACAGTAAAAACTAAAGATTTTTGTATGAAATAAAATTAAACTATGCAAAAAACATTCGACTTTAACACTAGAATTTAAGCTAAGCGAACGAAATGATTAATTTTTCTTTTTCTTCTTTTCGGGTTGTCCTAAGCCCTGGGATTCCTGATACTGCCGCACAACCTGTTCCTGTACCTCGGGCAGGCAAGGTGAATAGCGTGAATACTCCATGGTGAATTCACCCTTGCCCTGCGTGCTGGAGCTGCAGAACAAATGAAGAATTCATTAGTGAGGACCATAGTAGATTATCTCAGTTACTTACCGCAGCTCGCTGGCGTAGCCAAACATGTCATTGAGGGGTACCTCAGCGTATACGGTGAACCAGCCCTCAGTGCCTTCTGTGCCTGTGATGATGCCGTGACGCTTGCTCAGATGACCCATGACAGCGCCTTGGAACTCTTCGGGCGCAGTGACCTCCACCAGCATAATGGGTTCCAGTATTTGCCAGGAGCCGTTCTGGAAGACCTCTTTGATCGCGCCATGGGCAGCCAACATGAATGCCAGCTCACTCGAGTCCACAATGTGATGGCCACCATCCTGCAGACGGAAACGCACGCCGGACAACTTGTGGCCGGACAACATGCCGCGCTCGCTCATCTCACGAAAGCCCTTCTCAACGCCGGGTACAAATTGCTTGGGCACATTGGTACCCACCGTTTCGTCCACGAATTCGAGGAGCGTATTTTGATTGGGCGGCAGTGGCTCCATGAGTCCAATAATACGCGCATATTGACCCGAACCTCCCGATTGCTTCTTGTGCAGGTAGTCAAATTCGCAAGGTCCGACAAGTGTCTCACGGAATGCCACTTTGGGCTTGCCCAGCGTCACAGGGCAGCCATATTCCCGCTCCATGCGCTGCGCATAGATCTCCAGATGCAGTTCACCCATGCCGGAGACTAGCGTTTCTTTAACATCATTGTCAAAGTAGAAATGGAACGTGGGGTCCTCCTTGGTGAAGCGGGCAATGGCCTTGGAGAAATTATCTCGATCCTTGGTGTTGTTTGGCTTTATGGCCATGGACACAACCGGTTCAGGCACAAATATTGACTCCATAGCCATATGATTCTTGGGATTGGTGGTAAAAGTGTCGCCCGATGCGCAGTCGACGCCAAACAGCGCAAAAATGTCGCCGGCATACACCTCGTTGACGTCCTCCATTTGATTGGAGTGCAGCCGGACGAGCCGGGCAATGCGCACCTTCTTGTTGGTGCGCGCATTGAATATGTTGTCGCCCTTGCGGAGCACACCCTGATAGCATCGCAAGTAGGTCAGCTGGCCGAAACGACCCGCCTCCAGCTTGAATGCCAAGCCCATGAAAGGATCCTTACCATCGCGCGCCGGATTGAGCACTACTTGCTGTTTCTCCTTGCCCTCTTGCTCGATATAAGCGAGATTTTCGACTTCTCCTGGGTTGGGCAGATAGTCAATAATCGCGTCTAGAAGCGGCTGCACGCCCTTGTTCTTCAGAGCCGTTCCCACCAGGACGGGCGTAAAAGTGCGCTTAATACAGGTGCGTCGCAGCGCCGCTTTGATGTCCGCCTCCGTGAAAGGTTTCTCCTCAAGAAACAGCTCGCCAAGAGTCTCGTCCGCATTGGACAAATGCTCGATGAGCTCCTGCCGACGCTCCTGACTCTCAACGCGCATATCCTGCGGTATCTCGTCTAGACGCAGATCCATGCCGTGCTCGCCCTCAAAGTAGATGGCACGCTCCTGCACCAGATCCACAATACCTTTGCAGTTGCTCTCTACGCCAATGGGCAGCTGTATGAAGGCCGCATTGTGATTCAACTTGGAGCGCATCTGTGACAGCACCCGATAAGGATTCGAGCCCAAGCGATCCAGTTTGTTGATGAACGCCAGACAAGGAACATTGTAACGCTTCATTTGCCGATTGACCGTTAGCGTCTGACTCTGAACACCGCCCACGGCGCATAGCACCAGGACCGCGCCGTCCAGGACGCGCAAAGCACGCTCCACCTCGACCGTGAAGTCCACGTGACCGGGCGTATCGATGATGTTGATGTTGGTGTCCTTCCACAGAGTGTAGGTGGCCGCCGATTGTATGGTTATGCCACGCTGTCGCTCAAGCTCCATGCTGTCCATCGTTGCGCCCACATTGTCCTTGCCGCGCACCTCGTGCATCTCAGCAATGCGTCCTGTGTAGAACAGAATGCGTTCTGTCAGAGTCGTCTTGCCGCTGTCTATGTGCGCCGAGATGCCAATGTTTCGGATGCGTTCGATGGGCTTGTGCTCCGCGTACTTCGCATGGGAGCTGTAGCCGCATTGCAGCTAAAAATGCGACACAAATTCAAATTACATAATGAGCCGATTGGATAAATTGGAAAACTGGTTATATATCAGTTCAATACTCACCTGACGCACAGTTTTCAATGCGCTGAGGCGCAGCGGCAGGTTGCTGTTCAGCACACGTGTTATAAGCGTCATTTTGGCTGCTTTTTAATTAATAATAATGTGAATTTTACTAAAAACACGCGCTCGGTGCCGCAACGACAAACAGCTGGTCGCGTAAAGAGTGCTGCAAAAGAGAGCTGGGAACAGTGTTGGTAAGTGATCACACTTTTATTTCTTAGAAATCGATTATGACACTGGCGCGCGCATTTGAAATACCCATTGAACGTTCTTTATTTGAGTGTTGCAAAGTGAGAATCATAATAGTGTTAGTACCTATTTAAACCGATTACTAAATAATCGGTTTTCACAGTTAGGCGCGCAATTGAATTGAATGAAAACCCCCCTTTTTGATGTTTATAATAATTTCAAAACTGCAATTGAGAGCTGTGTGGATCCAATTGAAATGCCCATTAAGACACATTTAAAACATTTATTTATAATAAATTCAGGAGCAGGTAGACTGAAGGGTTTCTGTTGTTGTACTGATATGTTAACATTGCAATAATTAAATTAAATGTTTGTGTTATGTGTGTTTGTATGTTGCAGTTTTGTGCCATGAAAATGCACACGAAATTCAATTGAGGGACGGTTACGCTAACGGTACACATATAATACCATAAATCTAGACATATAACTTTTTTATAAGTACAATAAATATTCAGATGGCGCTTGCAGCCAAATTAAATCATCGATTCAAACGGATGTTTCCGTTGATGTAAGATATCCACGCCACAATTGCTTCGTCGTATCAAGTTTTGGGTTCTGAAAAAATGAAATTCGGGTATTAATATTGGCCGAGATAATCGACTTAAGCTCTAGGTCTGCCAGTATACATACATTACAAGACAAGATTCTTTACGAGCATTCTATGAGGTAGTTAGACATCAAGACGATGCAAATGAGTTGATGTTTGATTGACTGATTGACTGATTGATAGATGCTTGATACATTTGATGGGAGAGCAAGCAGATACCAAGTTTTGATTGGTGCTATATGTATGTATATATGTACAATGTGCCACACTGAGAACTAAGCACAAAATACACTGAAACAAAACAGACTATAACTAGATTTTGGGGCGCACAAAATGAAACATACAGAGATATAATTTTTACTTTTATTCAATATTTATACGTATATTTAGATGTGTGTGTGTGTGTGTGTTTGAGTTTCAATCATAACTTAGTATACTGCATAAATTATAATACATTTGTTTACATTTGCTTTTAGTTTATTTTAAGTATATTATTATGTATGTTCTGGCTAAATGTTTCTAAGACGGCTTTTCACTAATTCCTTCCCCCATACCCCGCACCCTACAATAAGATCACAGCTTAACCAACCCATATTAATCAAAATCGCCAGATTAAAAGCAAACACATAAGAGGATCATATTTAGTAGATCGTAATAGCTTGTTGATCTGCGGAGAGTTCATGTTGAATTGACACTGGTTCGTGTATTGTAAAATTCTTTTAAAAAAGTGTATATATATATAGTTTCTTTGGAATGCATATACTACGTAATAGCTTTTGAGCCATACAATATTTTCAATTAATACTTCTAAAACTGGTACCTGAGCCCAAAATCTACGACAAACGAATGCTGTGAAATTTCTGCTTATTTTTCTCATTTTGTTTTCTTTTAGTTTACCGTCAACTATTTAGTTGGATGGTAAATGCTACGGGCACACTTAAAAATGTTTACCAAACTTTGTCATAAAAACCACTACGATTAATGTTGTGTATATATATAAGTAGTTATGATACTGGTATGTATATATTCGACATTCACACTTTGACACTCTTGTAGTCCCATACAGATACGATCTAAAGAACGTTGTGCATTTGATCTACGCATTTTGTGTTCTCTCTAACACCATTTAGCTTAGGTAGTTTGGTATTTTGGTATTTCGGTATTTTGGTATTTTGGTATTACGGTGGTGCTCCATGCACCACTTAGACGGGCGTTACGTTGGCCGGGACTTGGGCGGCGACAATGGGGCCACATTCTAGCTTGGCAGCCGCATCCTTGCAGTTGCTCGGCTGCTGTTGATTCGCTGGGAGCATTTGGGCTGGCGTCTTGTTTGGGGTTTCGTTATATTCATCAGCCTCGTGCATGGGCGATAGGCGTGGCGAAAGGGCGGCGTTTGTCGAGGAACTGAGGAGCATGGTCGAATGCAAATGAATGATATTTATATATAACATATGTGTCTCTTAAATATTGTGTAAATAGACTTAAAGTATTTTAGCTTGGCTTAAGAACCTATGCGAATCTTTGGGAGCGTGTGTCGAATGATTCTCGCCTAGCCGCATATAGTAAATACTCGTCCTGGACTCAACTACTGTTACACTTACTGATTGCCATTGATTTGACGCACTTTAACGGTCACGGGTATGATCAGCTGCTCGGAGGTGCCGTCCTTGTTGATCTGTTTCCAGACAGTCGCACGATTTACTTCCACTGGGGGCACCGGTCCCGCAGCAGTGCTGCCCATTTTGTTGCCAGATAACGGTATGTGTATGGTTGTGGCACCCGCTGTCGCGTTCGCATTCTTGGCATTGTAGGCAGCACTTCCTGTGCCGGGTGGCTGTTGATGCTGATGATGATTGTCCTTCAATATAAGACATGCATTGGCAGAGTATGTTTTTTGTTTTCGATACGAAACAGCTCATAGAGTATGTGGGAGAGAGAGACAGAGTGATAGAGTGTAGGTGGAGGTGAGGTAAAAGAGAGAGAGAGAGGAGTTTGTGTAGGTGAGAGTAAAAAATTCGCGTGCTACCGATCTAAGAGCCAATTCGATGTAGTGTTGTGTAGTGCTATAAATTTAGATGTAATTCCTTTCTTTCCATTTTCTTGTTTGCCAAATTTTTGTTTTATTTTTGTTTTTGATATTGGCCTTTAAATTTATAACAATTTCTCCAAAAATGTATTTTTCTTTGCCAATTTTGGTAGTTTTGTAATTTTTGTTATTGTTAGTTACTTGTACTATGATTTTGTTGTTGACTATAAAATTATTTAACATTTACTTTTAATACATTTACACCGTGTAAACGCGTTTGCGCAGACTACTTAAGCTAGCATCATTAACATATACAAATATTTATATATATATAGTAAAGATATAAATACAATATAGTTATAGTAGTATAATATAGTTTTATAATTGAATAATATATATGCACTAGGAAATAATAGAATTTCAGTTAGCATATAAAAATAGGGCCATGAGCTTAGGTACAGTTAGGCTTGGACTTCATAGCAATATCATAATAATTGAGCATTAAGATCGAAATGGAGAAACAGAACAGCATATTAAATAAAAGTACATAAAAGTTGTATAAGCAAAATAGATATTTTAAAAATATGTTTAACAAAATGCAAAAATTGCATGCTACAATATAACAAATTAAGGAAAAACATTTACAAATACTGTTAAAAAAAAACACAATAAAACGTTTCCACTTGTATATATACGTAAGAGCTATATAAAAACCCATGTATGTTATATATACATAGTAGGATAATGCATTTTTATAGGACAAAATGCAAAAATCTCTAAGAATAATTTCCATTAGAAGATACCAACAAATTAGAGACAAATCAAATTGATCTGTGGTGGATTGTGCAGCACTGCAAACGCAAACGAAATGGGCAGCACTTATTCAATATAGTGTTTCGTTACGTGCTGCTCGAGTGTGACCAGATTATCAGCGTGTTGTCGTTTTCAATAGTGTTTGGTGTGTGTAGTGTGTTGTTTGCTGTGTGGTGTTTCCTATTTTTTTTTTTTTTTGAGTGTTTGTGCCAAACTCGGTGCGGTGTTTACTTTTTGAGCAAACTACTTTGTGCCTCGAACTCCTTCTCATTTGCATTTGAGGTATTGCACTTGATTAGAGCGACGGCATTGTTGCCGCCGTCCAAGCCACCATCGAGGCTGCCCTTTGGTTCGCGCTTGCCGCGACCACCAAAACAGGGTAAATATTTCTGACAAAAGCCCACCTCAGCGTCCAGTTGATGCAGATCATCGGCGGCCGCACGTTTCGTCATCTCTGGCATAATATCATCAAGTATTTTCAACTCACGTCGCGTGAACACAAAGTCCAAGGACTTGCGTATGCCAATCATAACCACCAACATCAGTGGGAAGAGTATCGAGGTCTGGGAGAAGCTCTTAATCAGCCACAAGATAATCAGACAGGCCAACTGTATAATGGTAAACAGATGCACACGCTTGATGGGTACCTAAAACAGATATAGGGAGCAATGGAGAGTTGCTTAAGAGTCCTGCAGCTGATGATTTGTTGATTCCGCTTACCTGACGCAGGAACATGTAGTCCGGCTGATATTTGGCCGGCATGAACATGATTAGAATACGATCGAAGAACTGCAGACCCTTGAGCGAGGCCACGCCCATGTACAAGAAGACGCCAAAGAGCACCGGCATTGGTATGTGTCCGAGCAGCGGTGTCAACAGCACCGAACCGCCGATGGTCAGGAAGATCATGATGTGAGTCACGCGCTGCTCGCGCACTCCCAAGAACTGCGGCTTCTCGCCAGGGGCACTGCACTCCGATTCCAGTTTCAGCGAGTTGACATGATTGATGCTTAGCACAGTGGCCGCCACGAACCTGTCAGTCGACAAATACGCCGTGAGATTCGATTGATAGAGGCAGCTAAAATGACTTACCAGGGCAAACCCATTACGCTGCAGATTGCAATCAGTCCGGAGAGCACAAACAGATCCAAGTGATAGCCGCAGCCCTTCTTCAACTTGTTCTCCTTGCGATTGACAATCACGGCCGTAATTTGTTGATCCATAAAGATGAGTATGGTGCCCAGCAGTGCTGGGAATACCGCAATGATCGCCGACCACCAAGGATTCTTCTCGCTAAACGGCGGTATGAGCCAGCCGCGTGTGCTCAACGTGGGCTTCAGCTCGTGAGGCACCTCCAGTTTCTGTGTGGGAACGCCGAGTGAGTAGTCAAAGAAGGTCATGGCAAAGATGGCAATCAGAACGGAGAAATCGCTTATGTATTGTCGCACAATCGATGGGAAGAACAGCGCGTTCTTGAATTCCTTGAGAACGGTGGAGAAGATAAATGTACCGGAGCACAGAACCACGGACATAAGGAAGACGTTCTCGGTGGGTGGCCTGCCGCAATCGGTGCCACTCAGTGTGCCATTGTAGGACTGCAAAAGGAATAGACGGAAGTTATTATAGTAATATCGATGGGATTTCCAAGACTCTCACCTCACAGGAGTCCCATTTGTATTTGGCAAAGTCAAGGACGCTGGCATTACTGTGCAGCGGCGGAGTACAGATGCAATCATAGATGCCCTGATTGACCGGGAAGGTCTTGCCAATGACAAACACATTCTCGATGGCCTTGTAGACAAAGATAACCGCGATAAGGGTGGCAAAGTTCTCCTCGGTGAAGCGTGTTATATAGCAGACGAGCGCGCTGGCATCGATTGCGGTCAGGACGATACAGATGACGGCGACCCACATGCCGATCCAGAAGCGGAATGTCATATAGTCCCAACCCTGAGCCATCGAGAACTCATAGACAATCGACTCGAAGACTAGCACTGGACCGGTGGAACCTAAAATTGTTAATGGCTGACCAGAAAAGAAGCCATAACCCATGCCGCAAACAAATCCGGAGACCAGCGACTCCATTGCCGCCATATTCTTGCCCGTGGCCTCCGACAGCAGGCCACCAAACGTAATGATGGGGGACAAGCAGGCGAAATACAGGAAAATCCACGAAGCTACGCACTGCATGGACAGCGCATCACGGTAATCGCTCCAGTACCAGGGCGCCTTGCGTTTAATATCATTGATCAGACCGCCAAATAGGCGACCCGTACGCGAGAGACCCGACTCTTCGCGCAAACGTTGCTCCTCCTCCTCCTCGTCGATCTCCTCCTTGGGCAGCTCGGGCGGTCGCTTACGCACCTCCTGCGATGGTATAGCCGCCGGCGGCTCAATCCGTATGGTTGGATCCCATTCTCCGGGTGGTAATACTGTAACCGCATCCAGAAACTCATCCACGCCAGCGAGCAAGTGATCGCGCTTGCGTGCTCTATACGCAACTTCATGGAAGATCTCGTCCGACATCAGCGTGGCCATGGCACGTCCAATCTCATGGAAATTGCTCTGGCTGCCCGGCGGACCCAGTAGTATAAAAATGAATCTGTGGAATTTTCGTGCGTTAGGAAACACCTTAGTTTCGGTCTGTAATATATATGGGTCAGGGATTGGCAGAAGAAACTCGATTTCTTCCAAAATTCAATAATTCAAATATTCCTATACGAATCTCTAACGAAATTTGTCTTACAAGAAGATATCCTAAGGCTTCTTTAATATTAGGCTTGGAACCCAGTGGACTTTCATTAGTGATATTTTATTTATAAGTTTTACTTTCATTTCATTCCTAAGACCTGGAGTTGGGAACTCGATTTCTTCCCAGACAAATTCAAACTATCTCTAAAGAAATTTGTCTCACAAGAAAAGGCATCTCTTATATAAGGTTACGGGCTTGGACCTGGACGACCATCATGTATTCCAATTTACCACTTGTTCCTTTGAATTATCGTAGGATTCTTAGTTGTAGTCTCTATGTTACTCACCTGGTTGGCACTGGCACCTCGGTGAGATCGCCCATGACTGCCGCCTGGCTGAGACGTATGAAACAGGAGAGTGTGCGCTCTAGGAAGTCCACCTCGCCCACTAGAATGTTGCTTGCCTCCGCTCCTGGTGGTATTTTGCGCATAAAATGCGTATTGCCCTTGTGTTGTTGCTCGGCCAGCTCTGTGCCGCTGGTCTGTCTGGCCATCGAATGGCTGCTGGGACTCTTAATCATGTCCTCTGTTATCATGGGCAGATTTTGTGGAGGCCGCAAGTTTTTGGAATTTGATTTTTTCTCTACATTAGTCAAATTCGGTATCGCAGTGTATTGGATAGTTCGGTGTGGGTTCGGTATTTGGTATTTTTGGTATTGGTTTGCAGGCGGTGCAGGTTGTTGGTGTAGTTGTGTGATGTTTATTGGATATAGGCATTACAACAACGTCAACGTCAACGTCAACGTCAACGACAACAGCAACAGCAACATAAAATCATAAATATTTTATAGAAAGAAAAAAAATACAAAAAAGAAGTGCATAAAGCTTAGTTAAAAATTCTCATTTCAGGACAAAGAACAGAAATGATAGATCATGCTTGCAAAATACATCCTGCTGAAGACTTTGAGTGATAGGCGTGCATATATGTGTGTGTATTAGAATGTTGAAGGATTAACGTATGTGTATTTATACATCAAAGTTCTTCATATACTTAGGGCAATCGGAAATATGTAGGTTCCAATGTTTCGTCAACCAACGCGCATGCAAATTTTCTCTCTTTTAATTTTCGGCTTTTATAAAATTTTTTTTTTAAGACTACCAAACAAAGAAACTAGATTTGGGCTCGAATTTCGGCTACATTTTTTGAAGAAAAAACAAAGAAGAAGACACGCAAACGAACAGTAACGGTAACGGTAACGGTAACGGTAACTGTGACGATAACGATAACGATAACTTTTGTTTCTTGATAGTTCGGGAAGTGTTGAAGTTTGGTTCATTACCAAGCGTTCTGTTGCTGGGCTTGCCGGGCACCGTTAGAAAACGACCCATTCCCATTCCCAGTGCATTGGTACTGCCATTGGTATTGCCAGGGGGTCCAGGCTCGCTGGCGGTCAGCGATAGGGGCGTGGTAGCCATTAAAGCGTTGCCAGACTGCTCTTCCACTGTAAATTTGTGTTGTTTTTTTTTTGTAGATTAAAGTAGATAAAAAAAGGTGAAAACAAAACGAAACGAAAAAGGAAACTAAAAGGATATCTAAGAATCTCGCGTTAAGTCGATTGCATCACGTTTAAATAAGTCTTTTTATCTGGAACCCCGTTTAGTTTGTGTTTGAGTAGACAGCACAAAAAGGAGCTTACTATAGTTTTTCGGATAGATCAGAGAGGGGTTATAGCAGATAAGAGATAAAAGTAGAGTAGAGTAGAGTATCAAATAGTTTGTAAGAGTTGAGAAAAGATCAGAGTGAGTTTCAACAGAATCGTGAAAAAGCTAGAAGTAATACTTGTCAGAGAGAGAGAGAGAGACAGTTTAACTAGTTACATATCTTTGTTAAACAGAGCGTGCTATGGTAGGTACACTTTACGCAAAGAAGTAAAACCATATAAAAAGCTTTGAATTGATCTAGTTAGGCGATTACTTGGCAATTGGATCGTCGTTGGCTGCTGTAATTGTTGTCCTTGTTGGCTAGACGGGACATGCGAGGGCGAGGCGCCCGCATGGAACCAGGTGGTAACGCCAATAGCGCCCATGTCGGCTAATGTTTAACGTACGTATGAGTAATGGGAGCAAGAGCGAGAGCGAGAGCGATCGATGGTTAGAAGTTGTGTTAGCAAACACTTACATAGGACGTTGCACAACACTGCTGTGTGACTTACTTAACTAGTGTTGCGAGTGATCGATTGATGGATACGAGATGAGTTAACTGATGAAATGTACGTATGAGAGATATCGTATTCAGAGTGCATAAGCTGGCATAGATACGATCATACTGAGAAGTAGAGTTTGTATTCAGGGGCAGAGTTACGAGTCTGCAATTTATATGGTAAATGGGTGCGTGCTCTCTATACAGCTGGTGTGGAACTGGACATTTGAGTGGTGCATTTGGAAGCAACTGAAAAGTTGTTGGAGTTAGAGTGTGTCTATACCTGTGGGAACAGCGAGATAACAACCACGCTGATCCTTACTGGACACAAAGATAGACGTCACGGGTGTACGGCATCCATCCGAACCGAAACCAGGCGATGTGGCATGCAATGATTGCCCAGTTGCGTCTAAGCAACCCGATTTCAGTTACATTTTTTTTTTTTTGGTTTTATTAATTGGGCAATATTGAAGTTAATGTAGGTTTAGTAGGACAAACTCAACTCATGATGATGATGCGCAACAAACGAACGAGATGAGCTTAGAGAAACCTGATAAATGGAGTACGCGAAGGGATACTCACTTTTTGATGACGACTGATTGCGCATGTCCGCCAGGGAACGTATGATGGGCAATCGCGACTTCTTTGCATACTCGTGCTGATGGCGATGTCGGCGCAGTAGCGCATCCTTTACCTTGTCCTTGACGCTAGCGGGCAGCGTGCCGCCGCTGACCATTTGATCGCAGACGAGATCGGCAACCAGCTCCAGATTATTGGCCTCCATGTCCAGCATGACGCTGCCATTGAGGAGCAGACCACGCAGCTCAAACAGCGAGTGCAGCGAGAGCGTGGCCACATGCGGTTTGGACCAGCGATTGCCGCCCTCCTCCACATCCTCCTCGAACTTAATCCAGCGTGCCGTCTCCTTCCACTCAATCTCATCGCCCTCCTTCACCAGCATGCCCATCTCAGAGAACAGAGGATGCGACACATGCGAACCATCATCCACATCCTCGCCCAATATAAACTGTACACGTTGTGCGGGCGGCGTCACTGAGAAAGGTCGAACAGGAAAACCCGATTAGTTTGGCTAACATTTATGGCACTCAAGGAGGTCTGAGCTTAACCCGCTTAATTGGGCGCACAGCCGCTCGGGAATTGCTTTCGACCAGATGGCCACTTGGCTGTGGGTTAGTTGCGTGTTTATGAATGTGAATGTGAGGCAGGCGAAGGCTACGCCTGTCGTGATGGTCGATGTTGTTGATTATAAATGAGATTGAGCTTCGTGTTTACCAAATTAAACTACGATAGATATGTAATGAATACCAGACAGAGCAGCCTGTCGGAACTGATAAACGCTTCTACATCTTCCACAGACTAGCATGAGCCTATCCATCTTACTTAAAACTAAGTACATATTTACCTGGCATATATTTATACTCAGTGTTAATATTTGTGATCCTAGTCACTCAAAGAGAAGACATTTTTTGCTGCTCAGCTAACAATCATCTCAAAACTTTATCTCCATTCTTTTATCTTTTTCTTATTTCTGTTCAATTTTATAACTTATTTTATCATTTTATTTTACTAACAAGCGGTCAAATTAAAAAGCAAGCTGTTATCTTTTTCTTCACATACCTTTTCAACACTAGACAAATAGATAAAGTGCTGCCAACCTGAGTTGTAAGTGAGAACTATCGAAGCTTATCGATAACAATGCCTCAATGTGTGGGCAGGTCAGGCAAAAGCTTAGTTTTTATGTGACCATTAAATTTGACTTCTCTTCGAATGGTTGTCAAATTAAACTGCTCGTTAAATTAAACTGTCTGTTAGCCAAGATAATTTGGGTTTCAAAATGAGCAGTTGGCTTTAAATTGCTTTTGGGCTAAGCATTAAAATTGTCTGCTCGAAGCTCAGACCTACCATCGATTTCACATAGGAGGCACACAAGGGCTTCCAGGAGCGTTAACGAGTTTATGGATAGACAGTTGAAAATACTGCCATTCATAAACATGTCTGCGTGTCAGATCAGCTATAAATTTAAAATCAGTTCTCCACATAATTCACACCTAACTCATGCTCTTGATTTCAATCAACCATATCCATTCAGTGTGCCTGCACAAGCAGCTGTGATTTCTCAGATGACTACAATTTGCGCATCCCACTGCCAGGATCCGTACTCCCTATAATTTAGCTATAATTTAGAATGTGTCACGTTGATTGGCCGCACATGTCAGCATGTGGGCGACACCTCCCGCTCGCAATTAGATTTCTCAATACACTCGGGCATATGTCAGGGACTGCTGCTGCTGCACCCACCTGGACGCTCCACTTCCTGTTGCTTATCGCTGATGCTGTCTCTGCCAGCGCCAGCGGCGCCGCCAGCAGCAGCTGCTGCGCCTGCTGCTGCACCTGTGCCGCCGCTGTGGTGATGCTTGCGGCGCCGCTGCGAATGCCGTCGTCCTCCCGGCACGTGCACGCCCACATAAACGGTGTGTGCGCGGTGTCCTGCATGCGTGGATACAAATTGAATGCGTCGCTTAATTGATTACAACAACAAAATAAACATGCATCGTTTCAAATCTATTGGCAAAGTCAAACAATTTCTATACCCCTTCGCAGAATGTGAGGAGTATATGCGGTTTGTGCAAGGCTCGTCTTGTGGTCCAGGCTGGATCTTGGAACATGCACTAGAGTATATCCTAGTCAAATGAGCCCTTTAAAAGATATCGAAGATATATCTCTATATCTCCAGTTTGTGTCTGCGACAAATCTGTCCATTGGGAATGTTTAAACCTGCATTTTGTGACTGGCCTGTGAACGAGTATATAAAGCAGTCGGTTGCACCCGATTGCAAAGTTCTTAATTGTCTTTTTTAATGCTCGCGTGGCATACAATCAAAGTCTGTTTTAATGATTGATAAGAACCGAGTACACGTTGAAAATTTATGCCGTTTGGCTGCGGTCGTTCGTCCAGACGCTTCAATCAAGTCAAGTTGGGCATTGCGCATACGCCGCATTGACTCATCCCCTGTCTCTAGAGGGGAAGCGTTTTTTTTTACTGCGCCTAATTGCTGTTTAATACGCGCACTTTCAGCGTCTAAATTTATGTACATTACTTATTTCCAGATCTCAATAATACGTGCTAGTAATTTTCCAAGTCCTATGACAATTTTCGTTACGACTTCGTCAAACGCAGAGTCTGTCGCTCGACCAATTGTGAGATCATCTGCTTAGCTGTATCTCACTTTTGATCATAATTTAAATTAATTATAAGCAACCATTTTTGAAGCCCAAAGATATAGATGTACACACATATGTGTATCGAGTTCTTGTGGGCGTTTTTGCATGCTGCCGTTAATGCATTTAATTTGTTTGCGGATACAGTAGACATTGCTTACAGGAAACGCTGGGCAAACTGATTAGATTGGCTGATATGCCTTATGGGAGGGTATCAAAAGTGGTTTCAACTGGAATATTGTGGAAAGTGTGGGAAGACATGATGAAAAATGGGAATGGAAATGTGTCGACGATGAGTTGTGGATTTGTGTAGGATAATCAACTTAATATAAATAAATATTAATAAATATAGATATAAATACTGGACTGTGAAAGGATATGGTTGGATTGGTTAACAGAGATGTGTGTGAGCTTTATAACTAATTGCAAAAAATAAAATATTAATTTAAAAAAAAATAGGGAACAAAATTGAAAATTATAAAAAATTACAAAAGAGACTTTAGAGAAAATCAATTAAAAGGCAAAAAGCTTAAAAATTGTAAATAATAAATTCCCATAATATGGCAACAATTTTTTAAAATTCGTTTAACGCTATTTCAGCTTAAGTTCATTGAAGCGCGTAAATTATTCAAAATTACTTGAGCTCATTTGTTTCAAACACGTTTCAAATGGAATAGTTTACGCTCCGAAGCATTCAGTTATCTCTAATTGTCCCATTAGTATTTTAACACTTGGGCAAATAAAAAATTTGCATTCGAAAAACAATTATTAAATTGTTTACATAAATTAGAATAATCTGTTCGCAGAGTACACAGTCAGATTTTCAACTGGAGCAAATAACTCAAGCAGTTATTAACGTGCAATAAATTAGAGTTTGATTTAAGAGAAAATATTAGGCATTGTGCTTGGGAATTTGGACATTCATCATATTGCAATTTGACTGCATTGCATTGCACTTTGCGATGTTAGTTTTGCAATTAACACAACACAAATCTGTTGCCTGTCATGTCGTAACGACAATTGTTCCAAGTCCAATCCACCCACAATCGGCGTGCTCCTGCCGCTTGGAGATTGTCGAGCTTTGTAAATTTATTTGCCTAAAACGTGTGACTCGATTTCGTAATACGAGTTTGTTCTCAGCCTGGGGCTTGGGCAAAATGCGCGGGCGTGTCTCGAAACGCTAAGCGTGCAAACCTTGCATAAAGAATCAGCCAACAGCGCGTCAGGTTGGCTGAATTCCAATGCATTGCGTATACGCGGCGTTGTGCACTTGAGTATTTGATTTGTTTACTCACCCTCGAAATCGTTTTCTGTAAATTGTTGGGTAAAGTCCTCGCCGCCGGTGCGCGGATCCTTGGGCGCCTCATCGTCACCACTCGAGGAGTTCATGTTCCAGGGCCTGAAAGAGTCACAACAACAACTTGAGAAATAATAGTTGAAAAAATTGCATCTTATCGAACTGTTCGCACTCTAACTTAATCGATCAGAAGCAAATACAAGACGAAAACAAACTCGTTAAACAACAACTCGAACTGCATTTGCAATCACTTAATCAAAATTCAGCGCCACAAACCTGGCCGCCGACTTGAAAAAATACCTCGAAAAGAATTTATAAAATCTACAAAAAAATTAAAACAAACTTTAGTCGAGTCATTCAATTGAGTCGAAAGCACTTTGTGTTTGCACATTAGATCACTTTGACAGTGACTGTCACCGGCACAGTTACCGTCAATTGTAAATGACAAGATGAGTCGATTTGAAAAGTGCCTTCTGTGAGTTTTGCTTGTGCAGTGTTTACTGTCATTACGAACTATTGTTTATAATTTTTGCTCAATTTCACACGCGACACAATTTATAAGCTATGCATCAAAAATTGTTGCGCCTATTAAGCTCAGGTTGTACCATAGATTTGTTGTTCATATTTTTTAAAAATTTTATGCATTCCATAAGTACACTGGAACATGTGCATTAGTGCATTCTATACTAAACAGGGTATATCATGATTTTCTCTTTGGGTAATATAATCTAGATCTTAAGTCGTTATCTGTTTATCTGCCTCTTTAATAGTAGCTTTAAAATAGGTCCATTTCCTATTCTAGGCATTCCGAATATACTTTAATGTCAAAAAAAAAAAAATACACTTCAACTCAAGTTAAACTCTAAGAACTTTTATCTTAATTTAAGCCAGTTGAAGACAACACTTAAAGAAAAGCAAGCACTGTTTGAAAAGTTTTTGTTTTTGCAGACTTGTTAATTAAATTCACTAGAATTAAGCTGAAATTTTGTTTTTATATAATTTGTGTACAAATTTAGCTCGAATATGAAGTTGACACAAGAGCGTTAATTGAAAATTTATTTTTAGATCAACATTTTTTAGCACTTCCTTCATATGACAATTTTAAGTTTTTGTTCAAGTTTTCTTCAGGCTTTTCTTAGTTCCAGCTGTTGACAACTCAATCGGATATATAAAGGGTATTTAAAAATCGCTATGAATTATTTTGTACTTAATTTATTCGTAGTCTCGTGCTTCACTTTAAAAAGTGTTAAGTAAATATTGCATTTATCTAATATGCTATTGACGTGCCTTACTGAATTTCAAATTTGGTTTACAATAATGCCAATCAAATGTATTCAAGTAGTTGAGAAAACAAAGTCAGCACCTCTAAAACTATAAATAACGCAATCTCGAGTTATTCAACAGAGCAGAAATTAAATTTGCACTAGTGCAAAGTTCAAGAGGGTATTAAGAATTGAATACTTATATTATTTTTTCGCATTCAACAATATTTCAAAATTTCATCAATATGTATTGGGAAATACTCTGAGAATTAATTGGGAATAAAATGATTAGAATATATCCACAAAGGCAAGGGGCCAAAATATAAAATATAATATATACAATAAAAAAAAGTATACATATAAGCTTAGTACGCGATTATTCAAACTCTTGAATGTAATTCAATGTGGACATATTTTGATATAGAAAAGTTGACATTTTAATATACATGAGTTTATATTAGACCCTTTTTTAGGCGCGTGTGCTATGCATATAGACTTTTTCATCACGAACTTATGTATAGTCTGTAAATGTTTATAATTATAAAGTCTAACATCTAGAGTCAACGACAGCGCTATCAACAATCAAAAGAGCTTATCTATAAATATATATGTATATATATCAATATAAGTATATACATGTGTCTATATATATACTTTACATATAAGCTTGTCCAACTGATAGACAGACCCTCCAAGCTGTCTGCCAGTATAAACTGGGTCGATCTCAGGCGTACAAACTGTTAACATTAAACCACTTTACAGTTTCCCAAGGCAAATCCATATCAATACCAAGTGAGTCACGTAGCGCCGGATTGAAAAAAAAAAAATCAGAAAAAAACTGACAGACATGCATATATTAAAGCCTTTGATAAGTATGCTCAGACAAGTGTTTGAATAAACTTTATGGAAAGACCGTTAAACAAAGAGATAATTACTATATGATTTGGGATTTAATTAACTGCATATATAGAACAATAAGAAAATATTTTTCCATTGTCCTAGGTTCTTTTTAATGATCTTTGTTTATCGTTTTATGAATTGTGTATATCACAGTAGGCTATATATATTCTTTATTTGTTTTTCTCTTGCATTCCGACAGGGTTTCGAAATATTCCGCCCGCAAGCGTGGAAAAAAGTGAAAAACTTGACTTTCTTGTCATAAATATGGTTTTCGAATATTCCGCGCGCAAGCGTGGAAAAATCGCGGAAGACGTTTGTGTAAAACTTTCTTTTTTTTATATATAATGTTAAATATTGACTCAAAACAAAACTTTTATTGTTTCGAAATATATATATATATATAGCCAGCGCTGTCATATGACGACAAGGGTATTTAGTCTCCGGAGTGCCGACAGTTTTTGTTTTTTTCTTTTTTCTGATAAGCAAGTCAATTAGCCAATGGAATACTTTGAGTGACTTATTAAATACTGATTTTCTTTAATCTCAAGAACTTTTGACTTCAAGGCGTTACAGAATAGAATATAATTGGAAATTATCAATCTTATTTTTTGCTAAATAGCACTGGGAATATAATGTATCCTAGATATTCGAACCCGGATGTCCGTTCAGTAATTTTTCATAAAGTGATTTGGGAACTTGTTTCACTTTTTACTTACGTTTCTTCTTCATTATTGTGAGCCATAATTTTTGGCTCGAATCTGGCTTAAAACACTTGCAACGATCTGGCGAATCGTTGTTCGAATTGCGCGTTCAATTTGTTTATCACTTGCCGATTATCGGTTCAGCCAGATGCGAACTATGCGTATGAACTAGGCGAAGATAGGCACAAAAGCGTGAGTTAGCGCTGGGGTTCAAAGTTTTGTGTCTGTTTTATTCCGATCTGTTCTGTTGGGCTGTTTATCACGCGGTTCTAGCGACTCGCTTCGAGCCCGGGCGATTGCAGACTAACTGCTAACTGGCCGATCTTCAAAGCGAAGCAGCGTCGGCGCTTAACCCGCTGCTAGGCCTGACGCTGCTGCCGCTGCCGCTGCCGCCGCCAATGCTGCTGCTGCTGCGATTAGCGCCGGCAGCGACTCTAGCAGCGCACAGTGGTTCGTTGCATAGACAGACAACAACGAATTAATCTGTCGACATTTACAATATAATTTTTCGTTTAATATGCTAAAATTTAATTTGTTTTTTTTTTTCATTACCTACCATTTCTCATTATAGATTCACCATTTAAAAATACGAATTGAATAGCTACTTATTTTTCTAACATTAAAAGGGAATTTTTGTAATATTTTTAAAAACCATTTCTGTTGCACTTGTAATAAACGCAACTTAATTAATATATTTTTGAATAATTTTATTTGTAAATGTAATAAACTCAAATCCAATTTACAAGTCAAGTGGTAACACTACTAATTTCTCACTACATCATTTTCAACCAATGCTCATGGCAACCGTGTCACAGTGCAATGGAAAGTGACAACGTGAGCGCGTTGGCGAGAGGAACAGCAAACTTATAACATGCTTGTACACAAATCCCAGAGGCTTCTTACAAAATATGTTTTTAAACGTTGTTTTACATTGTTGACCTTATCGATGATATTCGCCGTTTGTGTTCTTATCGCCGGAGTCCGTTCTACCGCCGGCTCAAGGCTCGCTTATCAGTTGCTTTTCTTTACAAGTTGTTTACCTAAATTGCAATTAGTTATATTCTGTATTGTTGTTGTTTTACGTTTTTATGACAATATTTGCTAAGGTGTTCAACATTTTGTTGTTGTTGCTGTGATTGCATTCAATATGAATGAACAGAGACAGAACTGGTAACAGCTGCCCCATACCAAAATTCGTAGGGGAGACTTGGGGCATATTAACTATTTGCTTTGGGCTTGAGGATTCATTCGAAAACAATTTTCAATGACTAAATTATTTTATGTATTCGTTTTTAATTATGGCGCCTAGTAAATATATTTAGTTTATGGTTTCCACATGTTGTGTGAAAAGTTAAATGTCTATAAAGAGAACACTTCAAATTGAATAGTTTATAATAATATTAATAATAATTTGTTTATCGTTTGAAGTCAAAGGCCTTTTGGAATTTTTTAGCATTTCCATTCATTGCTTGTTTATTGATGCATATGTATTATTATTTTTTATGCCACTTTACATAACCAAGTCAATGGATAATTAAAGCTGCTTTGTTTTGCTTGGTTTTGAGCGATTTGTTTACAACAATAAATAATTTTGTCAAGGTGGCCTTTTAATATAATTTAAGGGCAAATATTCCAAGCTGGTTTAATTTAGAAAAGGTTTCCAGAATACGGTTTAAGCTTATTTCAATCTATGAAATGGGCACAAATTAAACACAATTTAAATTATTTGACATTTTTTGAGTTTTTAATTTGATACATACATATATTTAGGTTAGACGTTTCTCATTACAAGAGATTTGTATTTTAGTTGGGTCAAAACAAAATGTTTCCTTATAACTTATTGAAAAACGAGTAATTTGTTAAATTGAAAAATGTTTAAGTTTGACTGAAATTATTTTTGTGTGGCTTCATAAAATGATGATATATATTATTTTATAAATATTAGCATTATTGTTATTAATTATTATTATTGATACATTTACCAATATTATTATTGTAATAATTATAATTGTTATTATTATCATTATTTTGATTCGTATTATTATTATTCTGGATAAGATATTTAATTTTTTTTCAATTTTCTTTTAAATTTTAAACATTTTGATATCAAACTTTCTAATAGTCTTGGCGTCTTGTAGGTTTATTTAAAAATGCATAAGAAATTTAAATATGTGTTTAAATTTGATAGTCTTATCTGATTTTACAGCTCTGCGTGGAATGTGGGCTACCTTTTTTAAAT